CAACAACAACAACAACAACAACAACAACAACAACAACAACAACAACAACAACAGCAACAGCAGCAGCAGCAGCGCCGTGCAGACTACTCCAAGGGGAGTATGGGACTGTGAACACAGAAGGCGGGAGAATTCACGAAGTTTGCAGATCTAGCCCGCCAGCGTGAAGGGCAGTGCAGCTACGGCGAATTCACTGGGACGATTGAGTAGGCGAACTTCGCTGGGGAGGGTGTTCCAGAGGATGGCACCACAGTGCGATGGACGGGATGTCCCTGCTGCTGACCGGGCTAGCGGCAGGCGCAAACCCTGTCCTTGCTGGAGGCGGGTGGTGTTTCCATGAGCACTTCGAAACTTGTCCTGGAGGGCTGGGCTGGCTCGATTGTGCTGGCAACGCCACACAAACCTCAGCATCTTCTGCTTGTGCAGCTCCTGAATGCTGTAGAGCTGCAAGCTGGTCAGGAGGGGTTGAGCATGAGAGCGGGGTGGCTGGCCAAACACTGCCCTGGCAGCTCGGTTCTGGAGAACTTGCAAGCGAGAGACTTGCTCCTGTCGCAGGCAGGCGAAAAATGCTGTCGACCCGTACAGCAGATCAGGCATGATGATGGACTTCATGAACTGTGTACGGGCCTTCAGACTTAATGCTCGCCTAGATCGCCAGAGCACCCCGATCTTCTGAGCCACTTTCTTGGCGATGCTGTCCACGTGTTTCTGCCAGTTGAGGGAGCTGTCCAGCAGAACTCCGAGGTACTTCGCAGTTCTTGCTGCTGGCAAACTAGTCCCATTGCAATTTACAGGAATGGCTTCACTGTGCATGCTCAGGACTTGGCTCTTCGTGGAGTTCAGGATGAGGTTGCGATCCTCTAGCCAGTCAGCCACTGCAGATACTGCCCGGGTAAGCGCCGCGGAGCATTCAGTAGGCAGCCGGTGGCTGAAGTACAAGCCAATATCATCCGCAAACTGGATGACCGCGATTGGCCCATATGTTGTAGTCTTTTGGACGCTGAGTCGACTGGTTTTGGTCCGAAAAGGCTACGATGCAGCGTTCCTCCTTTATTCCCAATCGAACATGGTTGAACAAGCGGTCACGTGCTCCTGCGTACACCAGTCACCTGGTCACCGTGCCTGCAGGGTACAACTTACTAGCCTGTTTGACCTTTTTTGGGTGCACTCCTGTCACTCGAGTTGAACCTTGGGCTTGGTGTGAAAGTATTAGTTGTCGCCTGCTGCAGTGCTGGCGTGGTGACCAGGTGATTTGGGCACCCAGGAGCACGTGACCGCTTCTTTAACCATGTTCGATTGGGAATAAAGGAGGAACGCTGCATCGCAGCCTTTTCGGACCAAAACCAATCGACTCAGCGTCCAAAAGACTACAACATACATGTATGGGCCAATCGCGGTCATCCGTGCTTTTATAAGAATGAAATGGCGCTTTTAGTGACATTTTGCATACAAATCCCCGTCTAGTAGGGCGCAGTCACCCAGTTTCGGTGGAAGTGCGCGAGTTCGATTGGGATTCAAGTAGGAAGGGAGCGTCTCAGCTTTCTCGGACCAAGACCATTCGACTCAGCACCCCGAAGACTACAACTGGTGAAATTTTGATTTTTGCCTTTAACTTCCCTTTGAAACAAGGTGGAGGACACTGTGTTCGGAAACAGTGACCTTACTACAACCTTCCGCGGTTGGCAGAGCCCCGGTCCCTGCGGACCATTTGAACCATATGGGTGTTGAGCCCGGTTCTGACCCTCATTATGCCAGGGGGGTAGGAGACTACTCCTTACGTTCGTCGTGTATTCTTTGATCGTTCCTTTATGTCGTCCTGGTAGTCATGTAGCTACTTAAAACTCAACTTGTATATAAACTTCTTTTCTTCCAACTTCTGCCCATGGCGTCCTTCTCTCAGCTCGTCAGCTGTCAATAGTAAGTCCTGTTACTGTCACCACCATGACACTGTCGCGAGAAGGTGCTCTCTGTAGACGAGGTTGGTGATGTCCCGACGCGGCCATGGGTAGGCCTTCACCACGTCGGAACACCCCGGCTACACGTTGGTCACGTCAACTACTTATGATAAGTTATGTTTGTAAAGCACTTAGTTGTTGAACTTGTTGTGTAGATTGGTAGTGGTGAACAAGATTTGAATGTTCAAAAAAACCTGATCAATTGCAAGTGTGTCATTTTTACACGTTGGATACATTCATGAGGGTCAGAACCGGGCTCAACACCCATATGGTTCAAATGGTCCGCAGGGACCGGGGCTCTGCCAACCGTGGATGGTTGTAGTAAGGTCACTGTTTCCGAACACAGTGTCCTCCACCTTGTTTCATGCTGTCAATCTAACAATATGATTGAAGTAAGTTGTACTATTGTGCTTGTAAGTACAATCATGTAAGTTTCACATGATGATGCAAACAGATGCATGCAGTATAAATTACAACTACATGACAGTATTGAAGTTGAAAGTGCAATATATACTAGTGAAAACCGTCAATATCATGTTGTTCAAGAGCCTGAGGTGCAAAGTATACAACAACAACACCCAGGCTTCTTCTTACTTCAAGTAGTAATATTATTTAGACTGGGGTGGCGAGCCAAAGATTAGTTTATACCCAGAAATGAGGTCTGGACCAAGGAACTACAAGAAACTAGTTACTGGCTATAATATCCACTAATACCACCAGTTACTAAACAATCAGCTCATGTGATAACATTGCACGACACTGACCAACGGTACTGACGTTCTACATCTTCTACACCTAACTGGCAATCAGCTCTAGCACATCTTGGATGCGCACTCCAACAGCCTTCCAGCTTGGAAGGTTCTAAGTTAGAAACGACCGTTTTGTCTGATGGTCTTGCCAGTATCGTCTTCGACATACATGTAAATACGCCAGCGTCCTTCACAGCTGATACTTTCAGCTCGTGCTTGTCTTGGTTGCGCTCACCTTCCCCTCCTATTGTTATTTCTGTTAATTTTTAGAACCTTCCAAGCTGGAAGGCTGTTGGAGTGCGCATCCAAGATGTGCTAGAGCCAGTTAGGTGTAGAACGTCAGTACCGTTGGTCAGTGTCGTGCAATATTAATTATCGCATGAGCTGATTCAGCCTGATTGTAAAGTAACTGGTGGTGTTAGTGGGCAATAGCGAGTACATGTAACTATTACTGCCTTGGTCCTCATTTCTTCTTAGTCACGTGCTAGTAGTTTTACTACTTAGTCCCAAATCCATGTCATATGTAATCCTATTTCAACTGCATGCTGGCGCTAGTGGAACTGGATGCTAGCCTCGCACTATTGTACTACTACTAGGGCTCCACTCAGCCGCAAGTAATTAGTTGAAGCGGCTCCATACCTTCAAGAAAGATGTCCATAACTAAGCACCGAACGCACCAACACTGTCACTGGCTGATGGCTACTGGTTTCTACCGATGAACTCTAGATTGTGGCACGGGTCATGTTCTTTGGTTCGGCTGTGCTGCCGGCTACTACAATGTAATTGTGCTTCGGTATTGTTTTGCAGTCTTCTTGTGCAACCCCCCCCCCCCTTTTCGATGCTTACAATGTAGTAAGTTGCAACGCTGACCTCTGCCGTCTGGTCGGTTGAGTTCCTCCCAGCACATTGCCATTGGTACGTCTTCCCGAAATGATATCCCCTATGTTTTGTCCTGGTTTATTTTTGTTCTCCACATGATTGTTTTCCAGTACAGTAGGGCTGTGTAAGAAATAAAATGAACTACATGTAACTTACTTTGTTTTACCATAACTTACTTACTTTGCAAATTGTACTTCTGAACTCACTGATTCTGTCATGATTTCGGGAGGGATGGATGCACGTGAGTTGAGACCATTCTTGACATGAACCGTAGACAGCCATGCCAAGCGACTCAGTCAGTCACTGAGTCTGTAGCAGCCTGTAGTGATGCAAAGAGATACAATGTAGAGTCGACTTGTCAGCTTTCATGAAGACGAGTAAGGGCGCTAGCGGATGGCTCGTCAGAAAGTAGAGCGGCGCCACCCATACTGCCAGCCCACAGTCATGTTGGTCAAGCATACTGGCATTCTGCAACAAAGCAACCATGCACTTCTCAGTCTTCTGAAAAAAGTTCTGATTCGAGCCTGCTACTGTACAATTATTTTCCAGAATGATGTAGATCAGAATGTCATGTTGATCCAGTGTGCAAAAAAGTGTGTGTGTGTGTGTGTGGTGTGTGTGTGGCACCGGTGTTCACTTGTGTTTGTGTGTGAACAGTAATCAGGTAATCGGTAATGCGACGTGATCATACCGGTAGTGATGACGATGACGGCCGTACGGGTCGACCGCGAACGTTTTGACTTTTGTGCACCAAATCTAGGCCAAGCTAGCTCGGCGGGTGGCAAGCCCATGTTCTTGTATGTAGATCTACATGACGGTAGACATCTACAGAGACTACACGTCTTGTAGATCACCCGACACTGGTACTGTGGTAGTGACAGACGGTGGTACCGCATTATATTACCGGATCGTGGCAACTGCGATGGCATGTCTACTGACGGTCACAGACGACCAAGTCTATACTATAGACTACAGTAGTAGTAGTACAGACTACACAGTACACTCCTTGTCCATCCACCGAGCTAGCCTAGCCATCGGCATCGACTCGGAAGTGGACACCTACAATTTAGTACTATAATTATGTATTAGTAGTAGATCTACAACTACAAGTTACAACTTTACAAGGCTACATGCCTGTACTGCTAGTGTAGACCTTACACTGTAACAGTTACCATGGTTACAACAGTACTACAACTATGTTACTAAGTACAAGGCTGTTATGTATGATGTACGATGTAGATATGTGACATGCATAGGCTTTTCACACATGGCTGTACTCATGCTCAGAGTCATACTATCAATCATAGTCATACTCATACTGTCATAGCTCACTGCTCAGCGTCTCGGTGGTTTTGCTGACAAATGAACGGACGGACTGTGGCGAATGATTTGTATTTGAGATGTTTACAACACTTTGGCAGTTGGGCGGTGAAGACCGACGACGATTGAAGTCTACTCGCCTCACAATGGTATTGTGAACTCTGCCGTCGGCTTTCGGTTGACGGCAAAGGCCGAGGAAAGTTGCATTGGGCCGCTTGGCTTTGGCTGTGGGCGTTATAGCTCTCCTCTGCCAAGCATTACGTGCAAGAGAATGGCCACCAATGTCGGAGATGGGCCGAAGAAAAACGGAGCGCTGCTCGATGCTGGGAACCTTTTCTCGTCGCCATCGCCACCGTTTCTATCAGAGGAGTTTCTGGAACGCTCCAAGACCCTTACTCGCCTCGAAAACGATCCAATGTCGCCCACCGCTGGCACCGCCAGCGCTCACTTGAATAGATGGTATCCTAACACTTTACCGCTTTCCCTTGATGCTGCAATGGAGACGGGAGCGAATAGCAGCATCGATCCCGGCAAGCCGCTTGCGTCGGAGGCGACGTTCATCGACCCGGACAGCAGCGTCGCTGAATTGGCCAGGGTGACAGGCGTTAGTTCGATTGCCCCCGGCGATCGGAATCTAAGCTTCGGGTTCGTGCCGGCTGACGTTGTGCGGCGGCTTGGTGACGAGAGCAACTGGCGGAGGCGCGCCGAGGCCATAGAGGAGCTACACATGCTCGTGTCGAAACTGCCTTCACGAAACTCTCATTCTCCCGGCGAGCATGACGTGCAGTCGTTGCTTGCCTTTCTCATCACGCGGGTAGACGATGTGAACTTCAAGGTAGGCCTCACTGCGCTGAACATTGTTACCCTGCTGTTGCGCAACTGTCCATCAGCTGCCAGCGCTGTATCTGCATCGCTGATGGATTGCTTGTCGAAACGACTGGGTGATAGCAAGATTGTGATCAGGCAGGCACACATGCTCTTGCTCATGCAACTCATGGAGGTGCTGGGGGCGGACAGTGTTATCCAGAACATCTTGAACCTGTCGCTGAACAGCCGCCAGTGGAGGGTGCGCGAGGAGGCCATCAACGTGGCGACGGCAGGTATGCTACGCTTCCCGCGCAGCGACATCAATCTGGAGATATGCGCGGCGCAGCTGGCACCGACGCTGCTCGACTGCAAGCAGCGCGTGCGCCAGGCGTCCATGGAGGCAATGGCCGTGCTGGCGCACGCACTGGGCGACGGCAACCTGCAGCCACTGGTCGCCATCGTGTCTGATCTGGAGAGGTGCGCCGTTGCGCCTGAGCTATTGAACGCCGTGCTGGCGCGGCTGAGTCGCCGCCAGATGCCTCACTTCAGCAGCGACGGCCTGGTGGAGCACTCGATACAGGTGGCAACGTCGTCTGCTACGGCCGCTCGTCTGCGCGGCTCGGGCGCCGATATCGATTGGATCCTTGCCGCTGCCTCACCGAACGCCGCAAGCCGACCGCCTAGCTCCTCGGTACTACCTAGCGGTATGGCCACACCAGCGGGTATGTCAGCCACATCAGCTACCCCGGCTACTCCGGCATCACCCTTAAGTGGCCTGCTCAGTAGGCAGGACTACACACTCCTCGATGGATCCGATGCCTTTCGGCCCATCAGCACAGCGTCGTCGGCGACGTCGAGTGAGCTCACACACGTGCCGCGCCCGCGCTTCTCCAGTGCTGGTCGCAAGCAGTTGCCTTGGGAGTTACCCTTGCATAGCTCCAGCGACCCGCCAGTGTCAGCTATGGGTCAGAAAAGAGAACAGGCGCACAGTGCTCCAAGTGTGGTAAGTACCAGTGCATGTAGCGTGCTGCACATGGTTGCATGTACATCTCCATGGCAGTGTTGGTTGATGACGAGGGCCATGTCAGGTTTGGTTTGTGTATATCCAGTACTGGCTGGCGGCAAGGGCCTTGTCAGCTTGGTTGGTATCTGAAAAATTTAAACTCCCGTAGGCTGGTGTATGGCAAAGTATAAGCGATCCGACAGTTGTCTGTACAACAAGGAGAGAGAGAGAGAGAGAGAGAGAGAGAGAGAGAGAGAGAGAGAGAGAGAGAGAGAGAGAGAGAGAGAGAGAGAGAGGAAATTGCTTCAACTCCGGGTGTACACAGAACTCTTCGAACAGAGGGCTATTCTGCAGACTCGATTATGCAGACAGGTGCCCAGCTGCTCTTCCCCATTATATTGATAACTTGGTGCATATCAGTATTCAGTAAACCTCGTGAATAGCAGCCTCGAGTACATGCATAATAGCAACTGGTGAATAGCAACACTGACCAACTTCAGACTAAGTAACCATGTTACTCAGGGGCGTCGGAAGGTATTTTAGTGTGGTACGGTCAGCCTACTGAAGTGCAATTTACTTGTGGGGGAGAGGTGGCTGAGCCAAAAAAATTTGAATTTTAGATCCCAGATTAGAGTATTTTTGTTGCTTCACGGGGTGTGTGGGGCAACAAGTGGTACGGTCAATACCGTAGCGACCGTACCGTGTGCGACGCCCCTGTTACTGCATCTGCTGAGATTATCCCTTCTGAACAACAACACTTTTTAAGTTGTTATGCCCAGGCTAAGGCTGTACATGCCCAGGCTAAGGCTGTTATTCACAACCGATTGACTGTACATGTACATGTATAGCAGAACAGATCTGCACAGTGGTCACTGGTGCTGCCAATCCATTGCTTCACGTTCTGGTTTGTGTATCATTGTTTTGTGTACTTTGAAAACAGTCCGACCGTCTCGCCGCGATGACAGACGAGATATTGCCACCGAAACCACCCCTGCGCAGTCGTATATCCTGGACCAATCCACCCGGTGGACCGCCGGCACCCTTTCAGCCACGGACAAACGGCGGCGGTGGTGGTGGAGGAACCGGACACCCGATAGCCATGCAGAGGCGAGCGACTGTCGATCAATTTGATCTCTCCACGCTGGATGAACAGCTTGCAAAAGTGGGCAAGAGCAGCCGTGAGGAACGACCCGACACGGCCGATCTCGACGACGGCTCCACGTTCATGCCCATCCGAAGTCGTCCCAGTCAGCTGCAGCTACTCGAGGCTCAGGCCTTGCGCCGTGCACAGGAGCAAGACCTGCGAGCACTGGGTGGCTTTGACGATGTAGTCCCACCATTGCCTCCCGATATACCAAGGTTGAATGAGTGGGGCAGAGAGGAGACACCAAGATTCAACGCGAAGCCACCCCCAGCGCCTAAGAAAACATCAACAACTGCATCAACAACTGCATCACACGTCCCCCTCACAAATAGAAGAGTCTTGTCGAAACCCATAAAGGCTCAGCAGTCCTTTGGTTATTCAGGGTCACAAGCCGATGCTCTTAGAGATAGAAGCAGCAGCAATGCGGATCACACTGCTGCTTCAGCCGTTACCGGCACACACGCCTTAGTAAGGCAGAAGGATGGCAGCACCACCGGTGCAAGCAGCGGCACTGCTTCCGCATCCAGCGGCTACTCCAGTGCAACACCAGCGTCCAGTGGTCGTGACAGCGCTGCATCGACACCTGCCACCTACAACACCAGTTCAACATTCAGCAGTGGCTTTCTGAGTCCGACACAAGAACCCACTGGATTCTTGGGTGCTGGCAGCCTGCTAACTTCGGATAAACTACCTGTTGATAAATCCTCTTTGGAGAGGAGCTCCACAAAATCAACTGTTCCACCGGTGAGGCCTGTAACTCGACTTGGCTTATCACCATCGCTTCAAGCCACCCTTGCTAGGCGAAAGCAGGAGAACGAAACAGAGCGTCGTCGGCAGGAAGAGGAAAGTGACACGGGACTGCTCGACGTCTGGCCAGAAGACACATCTAGCTGCACGTCACTGTCCAGTCAACCCTCAGAAATTGCACGCGGTGAGTTTTAGTTCGTGGACTAGACTCTGTGTATTGCAAAGTACTGTAGCATACTACTTTGAAGTACAGAGCAGTGGATGGACCAGCAGAGGTCTTCACCTTTGTGTTTCAACTTCTTCTTTAGGCTGGCTTGGTTGAACCCCAGGTAATATTCTGTGGTTGGCTCTTCCTACCATATTCAGGGCTTGCAATCTGCTTACATCCCTGCCAGTAACTTAGACCCATGCAAATAGCAGAATCTGACAAAGGTCCAGTACTGCCAGAATATGACCATTGTGTCCCAGCAGTGATGTGGCCACACTGATGCACTCGTGTGCACACAATTTTGTTCTGCACAGAGTCTCCACCATCTGAGCTGGATGATGTCGATATGCCCTCAAGTTCTCGGTAAGTGTGTATCATCTCTGTGAACTCAACATACAAGTTGAAATATCGTGAAAGAGTAACCCACCTTGATTCACAGGCGGGGAAAGAAAAACGGCATGGCTGAAAGTACTAGGGTCACAACTACACCAGGTTGCTGGTCTTGTGCGGAGCTCCCTGCTGCTCCAAGGTGAAAGTAGTGCAGATTGCCTGCACGATGACTATGTGCAATGTGTATGACTATGTGCGATGTGTATACAACCGTTCACCTGCTGGGCATTGATCTGTCGAAGGCTTTTGACACGATCGAGCGAGACGCTTTGCTGACTGTTCTGGAGGCGTTTCTGAGTGACGATGACGTTCGCTTGATCAGGGTCTTGATCTCTAACACCAGACTCCGTGTTCGGCTTGGGAGGTGCCAGTCGGAATCATTTGCTAGAACGAAGGGGACGCCACAGGGAGATTGCCTTTCCCCCGTTCTCTTCACGATTTGCCGGAGGCTGCGCTCCGACAACTAAGGCAAGAGGTGCCAGCAAGACCTCTCAGCGACAACGGTCTGCCGCTCGAACTCGTATATGCGGATGATGCAGACTTTGTCAGCACCTCAAAGTCCTGGCTGGCGGACGTGGAGGCCACTGCCAGCACGGTTCTACCACAGTGGTCCCTGGTCATGAACCGGGACAAAACTGAGTATACGGACATCTTCAGAAGTGCGGACAGGATCGATGAAGAGTGGAGGACAACGTGCAAGCTGGGTTCGCTGCTGGGCGACGAAGAGGATATTATGCGGCGGAAACAGCTGGCGACTGCAGCATTTCAGTCCCTATGGAGCCTCTGGAAGAGGCATCAGCACATCAGCAAGAAGTTGCGTCTGCGGCTGTACAACACCTTTATTATCCCAGCACTGACGTACAACTCGGGTACGTGGGGGGTCAGTGTGACCATTCTGTCTCGCCTGGATTCCACCGCCGTCAGTTAAGGTCACTCATCGGTGTGAAATGGCCACAAATAATACCGAATGATGTTCTCTATGCCAGATGCGAAGCTGAACCCTTGAGTGTCATGGTCAAGAGATCACGCTAGAGGCTGTTTAGCCACATCCTGCGGATGGCGGATGAATCCCCAGCTGTTATGGCTATGTTCGCGTACTTCGCCAATCAGCGACAGCAATGCTGGAGGGGTAGACCGCGGACGACCCTGCCGCAGGCATTGGTGGGAGATCTGCGCCAAGCCAATGCTGGATTGCTCGGGAGCCTAGACGCTCTGCAGAGCCTGCGAGCCATTGCCCATGACCGACCCGCATGGCGAGATCTATGCATGAAGATCTGTGCATCGTGACATTCCGACAGATCCTGAAACAGTCAAACTCAGGAAATAGCACTATTATTATCACTCCGGCTGCAATATTCAATGACATATAGACATATTCATAAATGACATCTTCAATACCCATGAGCTACATTGTATATGATAATTATATCATTATAATTATCATCGTTCTAGCTCAGTTTTTTCCCCTGTCATTGTCCTGTTATCATGTTCAGCATAAGCGAAGTTGTGGATCATGCTTGCATGGTTGACTTCAACGCGTACATGCAAGTAATAATAACTTACAACCAGAACTCGCTAATGTGCCCCACCGGCAAAACGCAAACACAGCCTGACTGAGTCTCATTCGAGTGGTGGAATTTATTTTATCCATGTAAAACCAACGTATAAACGTACAGTCACCACAATGCTGTCCCGTGTGTACGCTCTCTCACCCTCTCTCTTCCTCTCCCTCTCTCTCTCTCACCCTCTCTCTCTCTCTCTCTATCTATCTCTCTCTCTCTCTCTATCTCTCTATCTCTATCTCTATCTATCTCTCTCACTCACTCTCTCTATCTATCTATCTCCCCCCCCCCCCCCTCTCTCTCTCTCTCTCTCTCTCTCTCATATGAACATTCAGGCATCCACGCCCACCAACAGGCAGGACCACTGACTTTTCAGCCTCCTCCCAGGGACTAAGGAAGCAAATCAGTGGAGGAGCAACAACACTAGGCATGAAGACGCCAACGCGATCTGGCAGCCAGCAGCTCTCTCTTTCAATGCCCTCGCCACGTCTTCTCCAGGAAGTCCGACAAGCCTCAAGTCAGTCCACCAGCATGTGCAATGACGCAGAGCAGGACAGTGAGAAGTATGAGCCACTGGTTCATCCCTCCACTGCGGTCGCCAACGCCCTGAAATGGATGGACAGCGGCGAAGACTGGTAAGAATATATTTTCTTCCGGGCTTACATTGCGCTATACGTACAGCAGTGTGATGGTACTGAATGTTCAATGTGAACACAGTAGCTTCAGTAGTACGGATTAAACTACATTTTGCAAAGTAAGTTTGGTAACCGCACTGTATTGCTTCTCCCCATATTTGGTATCACTGTTCACAATGAAGGACATGAAGCAGTGGCTGGAATTCTCTGCAAATTTGGCTGTGTGGTGGGCACAAGTCATCCCCGTAAAGACACTGTGCCCTGTAAAGTGGCTCTTTCACACCCCGCAGTGGTGACAGTACAGTGCGCAGTGTAGAGTAGATGATCATTGCCGGTGTCTTCCCTGTGTTGTTCTGGTGCTGGGCTGCAGGGAGCAGATATGCACGGGTCTGAGGACTGTCCGCTCGCTTGCCGAGCATCACAACGACGTCCTGGGGAAATCCCCACAGCTGCAGATCGTTCTCCTCGGCGTTGTGAACAATGTGAAGAACCTGCGCTCGTCGGTTGCACGCCTGGCCATGCGCATACTACAGGACCTGTTTGTGTATATGACAAAGGACATGGAGCAGGTACGTCAACACTTCACTTTGCTTTGCAATCGTTTGTGATGACTCCGATTGAAGCTCTATTGCCTTGCTTTTAAAATATCTCTCCTCCCTCCCCCCCCCCCCCCTCCTGACGTACGCTGCGTCAGCATGGATTTGAATCATTTGACCTCTACGTTGCAAGGCATTCTCGGTACTGGTGTGGAGTGTCGAACACCCTGTGAAATCTCCCTGATTGTAGCAGCCCGCTCAATGATGATTTAAAAAAGTCTCGACTATAATAAAGAATCCGAGGAGTGGCACCTCTACTCTTCCATGTACATTGCATCACATCATGGCGTCTGATGCGGTATCTCGCTTGACTCATTGGAGAGCCGGTGTGCCTGGTAATCTTGCTTCGTGGTGGGCTCTGTTGAGCACTGAATGTATGATGTGCGGAGTGTTTGTTCTCAATAGTCGTGTAACGTTACATGCTGTCGTCTGTTGTCTGTTGTGACATTACACAGTGCTTGGAGAGTACAGTACGTGTGCTGCTGCAACGCTGCGGAGATTCCAGCAGCTTCCTGAAGGAATCTGCAGAGATGGCAGTCATGAAGCTGGCACAGTTCATGCACTCACCGAAGGCTGCTGCCGCGCTCAGCAATGTCGGCAAAACGTAAGATCTACTTTCAAGTCCCATTAAAACATACATTGTAGATCTGTGCTGTTACAGGTTCTGTCTTCATACACATGCCAAAACCTTTTCTCACAGAAGCGTGACTCGAAAGCAGATCGAAAACATACTCTCACTGACTGGCCCCGTTTCCTTATCAGTGGAGCCTCCACAAGCATGTTTCTGTGTGCAGCTACTACTAGATGTGAAGGCTTCACTCTCTGTGTCTACACTGTCTGGACAGTAATTTAACAATAGCATCATTCTCGTCCTTCTTCTCTGTGTAACCCAGTCACCGCAATGTAGGTGCTCGCACAGCAACGTCAGCCGCCCTAGGGCAGGTGATAATGACGGTGGGCGTGAAGCGCTCTATTCGCTCCCGTGAGATCATGGAGCCCTCCCTGCCAGTGCTCAGTGTGTTCACCAAGGATGCATCAGCTGAAGTGCGGTAAGTATGACCTGTTTGTACGTAACTTACGCAGAGAACTTGAAAGCGACGACGTCGGAAGTCAACATATAACGACAACTATCGACTTGTGAATGCAAAAGTCAGCGTTGTAATGACTCTACGCAGGCTGTGGCGTAGCACTTTCAAGCCCTGTGGGTGGAAAGTAAATACAGGCTAGCTCAAGGGCTGTGTGTGTGTGGCAACCCAGCACTACAAGTTAAAACGCAGCATAGGCTATACAGTGAACGTACCTCTGCTTCTCTCCGGAGGTGGTAATGGTGGTCATGGTCTTACCATCAGAAGCAGGTGCAGCCCTTATAGAATACATGTACAGTGCTGGCAACTGAAATCCGACCCCCTGGACGGCGCGCCGCCCAGGGGGTCGGATTTCAGTTCCCAGCACTGCACATGATACACAAACGTGATGTGTATCCTATAGTATACACAGTTTGGAGAAGTATGGTATGATGTATGACGTAGCATGCTACATGCATCGGTAAGTTAGTAGAGAGCACCCAAGCTTAGTCCCTACCTTACCAAGGCTTTCTAGTCTGTGTGCCCTGCAGCTGCCTAGGTTGCCGGGTAGTTCAAGTCTACTCCCGTGTCATAGCCACGTGATCTCAGTTCCCATGTCAGGGTACAGAGCTGTGGCATGTCAGGGTACAGAGCTAGGGTACAGAGCTAGGGTGGAGCTAGGGTACAGAGCTAGGGTGGAGCTAGGGTACAGAGCTAGGGTGGAGCTAGGGTACAGAGCTAGGGTGGAGCTAGGGTACAGAGCTAGGGTGGAGCTAGGGTACAGAGCTAGGGTGGAGCTAGGGTACAGAGCTAGGGTGGAGCTAGGGTACAGAGCTAGGGTGGAGCTAGGGTACAGAGCTAGGGTACAGAGCTAGGGTACAGAGCTAGGGTGGAGCTAGGGTACAGAGCTAGGGTGGAGCTAGGGTACAGAGCTAGGGTACAGAGCTAGGGTGGAGCTAGGGTACAGAGCTAGGGTACAGAGCTAGGGTGGAGTGGATGTGGCATGTCAGGGTACAGAGCTAGGGTGGAGTGGATGTGGGGGTCTTGTCACAGTCACACTGATCAAATAGGTCACCTGCCTGCCTGGTGGCAGTGTCATTCAACACCACACGGTGTATACATCATATCATAATAACTATTAATAAATTGTTCATAAGTTGAGGGAATGGAAAAGGGGAAATCTGAAGAAAAAATTGACTGTCACCACCAGGAATTAAACCAGGGACCTTCACTTGAGGCCAGCGATACTATTATTATTATTATTATTATTATTGTATGATACTATTGTTTACATGATTGCAAACAAGTGCCTCAAGGTCTAATAGTGATGCAATCGCATAGCCTCCATTCCTAGCACACATGACCAGACACCATGCATAATTGGCATGTATGATCCAAAAATAATGTGAGGAGTGGCAGTTCATGTGACTGGCGTCCACCAAAAATTAATCATGAACACGACATGAGCTGGTCACATAGCATGATGGGGATGAACTCGGGACAAGAACACTACCAACAAACCTCCCCTGCTAAAAGCCAATCTACTTTTTTGTCCATGTTGTGCTTTCATTTGCAGTTACTATGCCAGAAGGGCCATAAACAACCTGATGAAATGTCCGAAGGAACTGAAAGCAGCCGGCCAGTTTCTAAAGCCAGCCGATAGGGAGAAGCTGGAGACTGCCATTGCTCACATAAAGAGAAAGGTAAGCTGGTGATGAAAGTGCTGCTACTGAATCCTAGCAATCACCCCCCACTGTATGCTGTATGCTGTGTGCCAGTGTACATGTACCGGAATATTCTGCAGCCAACACCTGCACATAAACCTTGTAGGAAAAATATCCCCGGCTTGAGTACTGTTTTTTCGACCCACCACAAGAATACCAGGAGTCTAATTCTTGCCAGCAGTTGCAAGTTGAATATGGATCTGATATAATGATACGGTAGACCCAACTGAGTATTTTTTTGTCATATACAGGGAGTTGGTGATTTGCCAGGCGGCCGCTCAAAGCGTGGCCCACTGGAGCGTCAGCTGTCCTCGGAATCCTGGGCCTCCACCAACTCGTTTGCTTCCACCGATTCGTACACCGCCACCGACTCGTACGCCTCGTCGGACCCGTTTGGCACCGCCGATGCACTGGCATCCACCCGCTCTGTCAAACTGCCTCTCGGCAATGCTTCTCAAGGAACACACGGGTAAGCTGAGGAGATGCTACTGAACATGTGTGCATACTTGTTACCATTCCTACAGGCTGAGTCCAGTCATTTTATTGCACTACCGAGCAACATGCTTACAACACCTTACTGTCAGTCAATCACTTACCATAATGTTCTGGAGTATAAGCCGCACTGGAGTATACCCTTCCCCCCCCCCCCTTTATCACGAAATACAGACATCTACCCTATTTATCACCGTGAATTTGATCACCGGAGTACTTTTTGGGGTGAAATTTGAGTGTTCAAAGTGCGGATTATACTCCGGAAAATACGGTACACCTGAAATTGCACACTTCCGTGGAAGGGGCAAGGAAATGTGCATCTTGTTGCCACTCTACCTGCCAATATTTTCTGGAATAGAACATGGAACTCCAGGTGGATAGGATACCTGCTGGGCATGCAGAACAGTCTCGAATAATACGAGCTGACCCAAGTATTTGCTGTCCGTTAGAATAAAATCTAAAAGAAAGCTCTCAGCGTGAAGAAAGACAATCGTCATCTAAGCAGCAGTGTGAGAAGAGGTGCCAACGAGACGAGAGTGAGTGTTGGCAATAGGTATAGTGACAGAGTCACGATGGTTTTCAGTACTAAGCGCGTAGCACCGCCGTTGGAGGTCGTCCGGCCGAAGGGGGGGGGGGGCTCCCCCAGGAAAAAATTGAAATCAGGGTGGAAAATCCTGCATCATTCTGGGCACTTCTGGGCGGAAATTGGTCCGGCCAAAGGCAGACCGGCCGGACTGGCGGCTATGCCCCTGAGTACTGGGAACATGAACTGTGCACATATACCAGTTATCCAGGTTATGCGGCGGCCAGGGTGCTCATTGTATGCTGATCAGCAGTGCAGTGTGCATGTAGTTCGGTGATTGTGTATGATCACCTCCGATTGTCAAGGTTTGACTTCTGACTCATGTGAAGTCGAGATTATAACATCAGGGGGTGTAATCCGCACTGTATGTTCACTCTTTGCCACTTTTGCCAGCAATGAGTTGGACATCTAAGGTCTGTCCAGTGTAGAGTTCCATACTAATTCTGTCTACTTTTCTTCTTGTTGCAGTGCAATGGGTACACTTGATGGACCAGGACCTATGGTTGGTGCGCGGGCTGCCGGCCCCACATCACGTATCATAAGGCAACACACCACGGGAGGATCTGTAAGTATTTGCTTTCCACTCTTCATGCATAACCTGCGCACTGTACACTTTCAGTAGTATCCGAGTGCTTTTAAAAGTGTGTGTGTGGGGGGGGGGGGGGGTAGATGTGCACGCAATTGCTCCACTGTAGACCTAGCACATTGTGCATTGTGGCATGGTTCCTGCACGCTCTTGCTCACTATCCAAAACTGGTCACGTGGGTCTCCCCTGGAGAGGGGAGAACGATTCACAAGGAATCTTGGAAAGATGACTCAATTGGTTATTGAACCATTACATCCAACGGCTGACATCCCCTGAAATCCCCCAACACTAGGCGGACTTGGAAAATGATCCCACTTATGGGCTCACACCACGGCAAGTGGGTAAGAAGGACAAGGTGCAGAAGAGGATTGGCGGTATCAAGGTATCCATCCCTGCATGCCGCTGACACACATTTCCCACACGCCCATCGAAGCGATGATAGCGAGCACACAATGTTAGACATAGCAACTTATGCTAGGGTTACACCATTCAACACACACGTACACAAACGGTCACACACACACACACACACACACACACACACACATGCACATGCACATGCAAACACATGTACATGAACCAGTGGATCTATATGATTGGGAAGGACACTTGGCTAGAAAAAGTACACCTGTGTGGGTTTGTACCTAGATGGTTGATGACACTGTTGCGTGTGTGTATGTGTGTGTATGTGTGTGTGTGTGTGTGTGTGTGTGTGTGTGTGTGTGTGTGTGTGTGTGTGTGTGTGTGTGTGTGTGTGTGTGTGTGTGTGTGTGTGTGTGTGTGTGTGTGTGTGTGTGTGACAAAAAAGTCATGGTCTCGACTCAACCAAACACCCAGGGGCAATTTGGATTCCAGATTCTTGGGGCATTTCAGAAAACTGCTGCCATAATGCGAAGGCCTACAATGCTGGCTGTAGACTGAAGCAGCAGTTCTGCCAACTACAGAATCTGGGTGCCTTAGTCAAACACTCTATGAAGGATACTTGGTCCCTTGTTTGTGTTTGTGTGTCCATTGGTGTCCATATGTGCCCATATGTGTCCTTGTGTATGTGCAGGGTGGAGGTCCGTTACCATCAGCAATCATAGCAAACTTGGTCTCCACGGACAGCAAGGCCAGAGACAATGCCCTCGGTGATCTGTCTGATCTTGCCAAGCAAAAGCCCGCTGTCATCACACAGCATGCCATAAAGGTATGGCTGCTGACCTGCTCTGGTGTGCCTAGCTGCAGATGCAATGATCGGTTAAGGATTCAGGGTTCAGAGTTCAAGGGTTCAGGGTTCAATTGGAGGAACTATTAGTATATAGGTTTTCTTTCTCTAATCACAAAAGTGGCTCTCTATTCCAGAGTAGGAAACAATTTCTTCAGTCTTTGATAAATTAATTGATATCAACTGGGAATGCATGGCCCTTGCCATGGGGTATTGTATGAGTTTATGGTTGTCTGTTTGATGCAGTTGGTAATGGTTGTGTAGTGAGGTTGTTTGCTGGAATTCAGCTCGTTTTGTTGATGCCGGCAGTCCATTGACATGTGTATGCAGGACCGCTGGAAGCAGTTCTTGATTGGTCCGGCAGTACCATTGCCTTTCATACTGTGTGTATGATATGGTGGGTACACCTGGCCTCCACAGTAGGAAACACGTGTTGGTAGCCCAAAAGTTGGTCCGGTGATAACCTGACCAACCAGATCAGTTCCAGCGGGCCTGGTGTGTGTGTGTACGTGTTTGTTTGTGTGTGTGTGTGTGTGTGTGTGTGTGTGTGTGTGTGCGCGCATGTGTGCACGTTTGCGTATGTGTTCATGTATGTGTGTATAATTATAATGACGATTGTGTGCATATGTGCGCATCATGATGTGTGCATAACTTGTGTGTATGCTTGCAGATATTCGATGCATTCACACCACGCTTGAATGACGCCAACAGCAAGGTAGGACCAACTCTGGTACTGCAATGCACTGACGCATGTCTTGCCCATCGACAGGCGGCACCTGTCACTGATCCATACGCACGGAACGCAGATCTGTTAGTGCATGATTTACACTACCGTTGCCCGCTTTCCCTCTCCAAGGTGCCACTAGGGGTGTTGTTTGCCATGTAGGCACTGATCTATGAGTGAAGTTTATGATGGTTTGTGTTGTTCAACACTTTCAGTGTAGAAATAACTCTGATTGTTTGGTTTAATCAGCTACACAGCTACGTGTTCTGTGCATGTACAGGTAGCTCTTCGTGCTCTCACATGCCTCAATGATCTCTTTGCGCTGGCCTCGGTGGTGGATGTGTGGCCCCGCGTGGCCAAAGCTCTCATGCCAGCTATCTTTTCTGCACTAGCGTCTCGCCACGCCAGTATCCGCTCCTCGGCTGACAAGGCCCTTCAGCATGCCATTGCAGCAATTGGTAAGAGTGATTGCATCGTTTGTTTGTTTTTATTTTTTCTTCACCAGATACACCATATTTCTGCCTTCTCGTCTAACCATATGTCTAGATTCTTAATCATGAAAGGATAAGAATTGTCCTACGCAATATGCAGCCAATCCCCACTATTTCCACACAGTTGCTGGTGGAATCTGCTGAAAGAACACTCTGTTGTAAGCATGTTATGGCTGATCATTGTGACTTGCAGCCAAGGTGTGTACTTGTGGAGAGATGATCAGTCGAAACATCCTCAGTACTTCTGCTCAGCAATGCATCAAATGTTCACACACAAACACAATTTCCTGTACAGAAAAAGTGGCAATGTGATCGGATTGTTCCACTGTAGGACAGTGTAGTAGAAATCCCAATACACCCCTTTGACATTCAGTTAGAGATGGCTAGGTCTGCTTGGAGCCGGTTAGCACAGTTCCACTGAAATGCCCCGCATCCACAGTACATTTACTTGTACTTACATACCAAAACTCTCCTCACATAAGGGGTCGTCGCAAAAGTTTTCTGTCGTCCCTGAAACGAACATCGTTCATTTCGTACTCGGACCCCCTCCCCTCCCTCTGAAACGAACACAGCTTGCTATGCTGGACGACGAAAATCGCATGCATGTACATGTCATATGTACAGTGTCGGTCGACTTGCGATTTTGGCTCGCACCCCCTCCCCCCCCAAATGAATCATGTTCGTTTCAGGGACGACAAAAAACTTTTGCGACGACCCCTAATTCTAATCTGGCCTTGTTGAACGTCTATGCATTCTCTGTGCAGATGGTATGGTGCTGTTACCGATGATCGCCTCCATTGCTCAGTTCGGCAACAAGAGTGTCAAAGCGCAAGCAATTGGTGCAAGCGCAGGTAACTAACTTGCATCCGGCATATCCATCCGTTTAAATTTACTAATAGCTGAAATATGTTAACGTGAACTATGCCAACAGGAAGTTTTCCTTACTCTTGATATAAACAGTATAAAAGCATCCGTACTTTGAAAGACAGTAGACAATGTCAGCAGACAAGACTCCCTTTGAGTTTGATGGGCATCCATTTACCTTTGTAGAATCCTTGAAAAAAAATGTCAGTGTATGGGGTGGGGAGGGGATGGGGGTGGAAGGGTGATATACTGGGGATAAGGTTAAGCTGTACATGTACTGTCACGCCATTACCATAGCGTGCCAAGTATCACTGCAGTTGTGCTGTACTGCATCTCCGCGTGTGTTTGCTTCAGATGCGTTTGACTCTTGCTATGAGGAGTATCCGAAAACCGCTACACGCTCCGTGCTTCCCGTGGTGTGGCACTCAGCTAGTCTTCTAGCCGGCAAGGTCTCCAAGGCAACTACATCCTTTGCACCAGTGTCTCCAGCACTCAAACTGGCCGCTGCCAAGCTTATACACATCGTCTTCGACCGCATAGAGGACACGCTCATAACATCAGCTCGACAGCAGCTCACTGGTGAAGAAGTAAAGATCCTCAACGGAATTCTTGAGCACCCTCCACCAATGGAATGAAGATCCATGATCGGCGCCTTTTTTCCACAGGTTGGCCAGGGTGTAATGGGCAGCATTACGCTTACCATACGGAAACTTCAGGTCCTGCGTAAATTCTATATTCCCGCAGAGCCCAACAGATGAGTCGAGGGTCGTCCAGTCTCGTCTCTATTCGGTACAATAAGGAGTTCTGAACCCTTCTAACGTTGCAATCATGAACAGATGGTGACCAGGACCGTATTTGGGAAAGACAGGCAACCTCCACATGACCAGAATGGAATTTATCATTGCAATCATCACCTTTCATGACAACGAATTGGAGCCAATCTGTCTACGTTTCCTATCAGCAAGTAGTTACGTCATCACTCATCACTGATCGCATGCAATGCAGACCCCCAATGCAGAGCAGCAGAATGGCTATTTCTCTTCTTTTTCTATTTATCTCACCCGGCCAACGGGCAGCGTCCAACTAGATGGCGCCCGGATGATCTAGAGCAGCTGTTTGTTATCATTCCACCGTCTTATCACCAATGCTTCATCACTACATCTGTCGTGTCATTGCATGTGAAGTTTCGCTGATCCATGCTTTTACTGTGAGCAGAGGTCTCCGTTCAGCGACAGCAATCGTTTCGTATTTACCGCCATATCAGTTGTTCTGCTACTTCAAGTATAAGTAATCTGATCTAATCTTCAGTTCTCTGTGATTGGATGTTGTAACCCTGCTATAATCTATACAGTATCAGGGAGGAATCGGACAGTCTAGCAGTGACCTGTGTTGATGATCCCCTGTGTGGAAAAGCCGAGTGTATGATTCCCTCAGTTGTGGAACTTGAGGCAGTGTACGACCCCATTACATCTCCTTGGTGGAAGCTAGTGGATGGTCCCCTGTGTAGACTGAGAGTGTATGATCCCCTGTGTGGTAGGTAGCACATGATTATACAGTCATGTGCCCGGGCAGAAGGTAGTGTATGGTACACATGCCCTGTGTCAGTGGAGTAGTAAAATACCAGCATATTTTTAATACCGTGCGGTTTCTACATTGCCTTGGGTCAAGTACCGTAAACATGTTAGTTGGGACTTTACAAGCGTGGGCACATCCTGGCCCTGGGACAAGTGTATGTGTGTAAGTACCCAATCCGCACAGGCCTGGTGCCAGCTCCTGAGAGGTGGTATGGCCCCAGGTTGGCCACATGCACAGGGCCAACCATCCCCCCCCCCCCCCCCCCCACACACACACACACATGCCTAACGCACACATACTCTGTTAGGCGGGTGTGTGGCATGGGGCTTCCTCTGTAAACAAATGTAACATGGTTTTCTCTACAGTCATCACCCAGGAGTCGTAGCACTGATCTAGGGAGACAAAACGAGCGACTGAAACACTGAATGATGTGGGCTGTGACCCCAGGCTGCCTGTTCCAGTTGCCCCCCCCCCCCCCCCCCCCCGAGGCAAGGCCAGTTTATGCATGCTTGCATATGGCACCGCTTTCCCGGGCCGCACTTAGGGCCAGCAAGTCAGGGCTGGAATCGCGATAGCAAGTTGCATAAACCATGAATCGCGTAGAACTTCCAAATCCGGGGTCTAAACTCACACTGTTCCGAGCACTTTGGTCTTGTATTGTCTCCCTAGATGTTACGATTCACTCGTCATCACTCACAATGAGCCAGCGGATAAAGTTAGTTCCCAAGCAACAACAGGATGCACGGTACGAGTATCTGGAGGATATAGGATATAGCTGATATAGCACTGTATACGGTTAGAGTGGGTAACATGATCTTGCTCCCCACTATCCGATTAGTTAGTGTCCGCATGTGTTCGACAAATCCAGGTGATCACAGAGTGGCCAGGACAGGCCAGGCCCCGCTTACACTCTGGCCGTCGTTTTGAAGAACGTTCGAATAATCACTGTCTGCAACAGGACTGCCAGGCCCATCAGTGTAACGATGAGTAGAGAGCGGTACACCACCATGCTCTCGTTCATGACGGCCATTGACATGTCATGATGGTAATGTCGCCGCTGTGTCAGCTGGAAGTCCATGATGCCGTCCAGATGATCATTGCACGTGTCCAGGGTTTCCTGTGGTCCAAAAGAGAGATAGATAGATAGATAGATAGATAGATAGAGAGAGAGAGAGAGAGAGAGAGAGAGAGAGAGAGAGAGAGAGAGAGAGAGAGAGAGAGAGAGAGAGAGAGAGAGAGAGGAGTACATGGCCGCTATAGGTTAGGAGAGTAGTGCAATGGCTAATCAACGTACAAGTTCAAAGTTTACAGTCTAGTTAAGAAAAGTCAACACGTTTTCTTATCGTATACTATACTACTTCTGATGCCACAGCAGTCCACTGAGTACAGTGTAAGACAATATCTAGGCTACAAGAGCTCCCTGAGACTCGGTATGAAGGGTGCTCTTCAAAACTGTTGGGGTCAAAGAACATCAGTCACCGCATACTGTATTGCAGGTCACTTGGGCATGCAGAAAGCTTGGGGCAGGAGAAGCAACAGTGAATACTGGTAGCTAATCCACCTCAACCCGCTTGCGTGCGTGTGTGTGTGTGTGTGTGTGTGTGTGTATGTGTGTTTCACGCGGACGTGCGTGTGCGCATGTGTGTGTTGGGGGGGGGGGGGGGGCAACACTGCATTCGACCTAACCTTGAGAGAATGTTATTTTACTAGACGAGATACACAACATCCACGAAAGCAAACGACCCAGTGCACTGAATATTCTAGGTGAGGATGTACAGTAGACATTCTGACACACAGCCAATATTCCCAGACTCACGTGGATCTTTTCAACAATCTCCTGGTCCAGGTTGTCTGGCAGTGTTGTGTACTTGACATGCAGCACAGGACCGATGTCCAAGTAGAGCTGCTTGCGGTACATGGCAGAGTTACTCTGGCGATTGTTGAAGCACACCTTGTAGTCCCCGGTCTTCTTCACCATCACCATGGAGCCGTCATGGTTACTGTTGTCGTGGCGTTTATCATGGTCGCCTTGAGCGTTGCCTCTGCTGTGTAGCTCCTGTAGTACAACGTTTCCGGCCGGGTCCGTCACCTCCAGGTCCACGTCGGGGTGCATGATTGTAGGGTTTGCTTCTACCTACATGTCCAACCATCGTGTGAGAACATACACACACACACACATACACACACACACACACACACACACACACATATATGGTTGTGCGGTGCAAACCTCTAGCTAAGGACCACCTGCCACTAAAGACCGCTTTCTCTGGCCCCCGAGGGGTGGTCGTTAGTCACAGGTTTTACTGTACTTCAAGACTGCGCAGATGTGTATAACTCTATCAGCATATTCAGATGTGTATAACTCTATCAGCATATTCAGATGTGCATAACTCTATCAGCATATTCAGATGTGTATAACTCTATCAGCATATTCAGATGTGTATAACTCTATCAGCATATTCAGATGTGTATAACTCTATCAGCATATTCGGAATGCAAAGTTCTACTTTGGAGGGCCAATAATTATGTTATCTTCCTAAGCCATTTGACCTTGGATAGCTAGTTGAACTACACTAGCACGGCACACAGCACCACTCCACTGCTAACACGTAACAGCCAATGGCAATGGTCCTAAATGCTGCATGCACTGAACACGTAGGCAAGGGCAGGTCTACTTCAGAGCGGGGGGGGGGGGGGGGGTCCTCAGGGCACATAGTTTTCATGGCAGATCTACTCAGTGGGTGTGTGCTGTAGTCGTGTAGATCTACCACCAAGTAGATCTACTATCCCCTTTGCCTAGATTGGAACCTTGCAGCCAGTAGTGTAGATCTACGGCCCGGGTGCACGATCACCGTGTGAACAGCAGGGGCGTGCTCGGCCCCCCAACTAGGGGGGTGCACGGGAGCCGAGGGGAGCCCCCCCCCCCCCTCCGGCAATTTTCTGCAATTTGTTTGCAACCTTTCTAGAATTTTAGAGCATATTTGCATACATTACAATTGCAATTACCCAGATTGAAATTTTGGGGGGGGGGGTGCACGTGCCCCCGTGCCCATCGCCGAGCACGCGCCTGAACAGTTACTGAGTAGTGTAGATAACCAGTAACGGTTTGCGGCACAACACAGTGCTGAACTCACATTGAAGAGGACATGTAGGACCGATCCTGACTTCACTGGCTGGTAAAAGCACTCCTCGCTGTAAGGCTCCACGATCACGTAAAACGCCGCTCCATACTCTTCCGAGTCGACCAGGCGTCCTGAATCAGTCTCCAGAGCGCTAAACTCTTTGCTGAATTCGCGACCATCCAGTTTCTTGACTATGCCATTACCGCGTAATCGCTGCTCTGTCATCTCATCCTCGTCCATGGGAGCGTCAATCTCCTCCAATTCAGCCGTTTGTCCAGGCTTTCTTCTGTGTTGCGGCACCTGGTCGTCGCTCCCACGAACTCCGCTCAGCAGCCCAGTGACCGCTACAAGTAGCAGAGCGAGGGCTATGTTGGCGGTGATCCGTGACCAGTGCCATCCGCTGCTCCGCACTCTCTCCTTGGCCGCCATTGTACTCTTACCGCCCTAGTGTGAAGGTAGGGCCCTCCAAAGCGACCCTGGCCTTGGTCACCCTCGTACAATCGTAGATATACACAATCAAAACGGTAAACTAGATGTGTAGGTGGGACGAAGTTTGAAGTCAGAAACCTTCGGCGGTAACTACTTATCTATGGTTCGAAAAATTCTGGTAAATCTTGTCCTCCGCGCCTCCTATCGATATCCTCCTGGTATGAACTGACTGTTGACTGTTGTCATGATGTGATCGCGTGCAGAAAGCCAGAGTTCTGTTGCTAAGCAATCAAACGGACTGGGAGCAGTCATGCAGTTTACATGGTTTACATGGTTTATAAAATATTATTATAATGTATGTCTAGTTGTCACAAGGAGGGAGTCGTAAAGCACTAGATCATGGTGGAGTAGAGTCTAGAGAGCATGCTAGCAGGACCAGGCCATGCAGGGAGTCAGAACGGGCTAGTGTGACTGGTGCACATGCATAGTTTTTAGAGAAGACATACTCTCGCCGAGTCGGTAGGTCTGTCATCAAGACACACAGAGCACAGAGCACAGAGCAAGAGCGATTCTATTCTACAAAGTACAATGCAGATCTATTTCTACAGCACAACTCCGTAGTTCAAAGGCTGCATAGTGCAGATCTTGCACTTGACCTATTTGTAGTTGATGTGTACACTTCCTGGGTTTGTGCATGTTTTGTACTGAATGCAACTACTGGATAGCAGCTGCTCAGGAGGACACGAAACCCAGCGTGTGCAGCTGGGATGGGTTGGTGCCACGGCGAAATTCTGGGGTTTATCACTCAGTCAGTGATTCAAGTGGATCTCTACACTGAACTGTAGCTCAGTTGTACGCACTACGCCACTTCCCACCGCTCATCAGGCTGCACCAACTATGAAAGATGTAATCCAGGAATTTTGCCGTGCCAGACACCGTGACCGTGACCCATGCAGAAAAGTCACAAGCTGCACACTCTGGGTTTCATGTACTCTTGATAGAACAGAACCAGGCGGAGCAGAATAACGGTGACGATGTTCACCCACCCACCATGAACAAGCGTGTACTTCACTGCCAGCACTAGTACTCGTACTAACAAGTCCACCCTGAGACAACTGCTGGCGTCCTGGCAACCACATGCAACATCACGCATAACGTCAACTGCTGTCGAGATTCTTTGAAAAAATCATTGTGGGGGGGGGGGGGAGCATGATATTTGGAGTAATGATGCACGAGGGTGCAACGGGCATAGGTATAGTGATACAAAATGTGCACCTGCTCATCCAAAGTGAGCGAAGGAACAAGCAGAAAGAAGAGTTCATTTGATCAGCAGAAGAAGTGTACACGAAATAGGGAATAAATAATATATGGATGGATTGACCTGCATTCCAGTATCAAGACTAGACCCACGGTCAATTTTGCATCTGTTGCTCATGCCGTTGCTTGATACGAGGATAATTGAACAGTTCCACTTCATCACCATCAACGATGAATTTCCCTCTCAGATCTCCTACTTCTACACTATATTTTCCTCTGTGAATACTTTGTACTCCCTCACGATCTGTCAAGGACAATGTCTGAGGAGAAACTGTCAAATGCACAGTTGCTGATTCTCCAGCCTGCAGATACACACGACCAAAGTCAAACAGTTCACGAATTGGTGCATCCGATTGATTGCTCGACTTCAGGAATCCCAACACACTGTCCGCTCCAGCTACATCTCCTGTATTCTTCACAACAACTGTGTACATCAGTGGTGTATCTCCTACTGATGCTGCTGTTGACGTATCAACATGGATGACTGACTCGCCAATGCTGCCACTCTCCCAACTGTAGCTAAATGTTGTGTAGGACAAACCAAATCCAAACTCCCAAAGTGCATCTCCAGTATAATGTAGATAGGTACAGCCACCATTGCCTCGCAGGTTCATATCAAAATAGCTTCTATCAGTGTAGCTAGCTGGGTACACAGTGGTTGGTAGGCGTCCTGACGGGTTCACTTTGCCAAAGAGAACATCAGCAACAGCATCTCCACCAAGTTCTCCGGGATAGAAGGCTTCCAGGATTGCCGGAACATTCTCTTTGATGGAGTCAATGGCTAATGGTCCTCCATTGATCAACACGACAACAGTGTTCGGCTGTACTTTGAGAACAGTGTCAACTAATTCTTGCTGAGCACCGGGGAGAAGTAGATCCACGCGATCATGTCCTTCGGACTCTTGTGATTCGGTCAGGCCAACACACACCACGGCCACATCACTGCTCTTGGCAGCTGCAGACACATCGTTAAACTTGGAGGTGTCGTTAGATGATGTGCGTGTGAGTCCCGGAACAAAGTTGATCTTGATGGATTGACTAGCTAGCGTAGTGACTCCAGCTAGGATGGAGTGTGCCTCTACCAGAGTGTTCTGGCCATGGTAGTTACTCAGCAGATCTTGTGTAGCATTTGCCTGCGGACCAATCAGTGCAATGGACTTGATCTAAGCAGCAGAAATGTGCAGAGAAAACAATTGACCGTGATAAGGACCCCGGTACAGCCATATCGGGCACATACATGATTGTGCCCACAGAAAAGGCCACGTGTTGCAATATCGGTCAGGAAGTTTAAGGCACCTAGACAGTTACCGCGACACTCCTATTGGAGTCACAAGGGAGAAATACTACCAGTCATGTGATATGGCTCATGCAATTACATTACACAATGTATTACTCATGCAATTGCAATACACAATGTGTTCGCAGTTAACTCACCTTGTTCATGGACAGAGGCAGCAGGTTTTTGTCATTCTTCAGCAAGACGACCATCTGATGAGCTGCCTCCAAGGCAATTTGGCGATGATCATGTGTATCAACATCACTTGGACCGAGCCTCTGAGCCACAGTGAGTGCAGGTCAGATAGCATACACACACATACACACACAAACACATACGCATACACATGCACACACACGCACACACATGCTAGAAAACTAAAAAAATTGCCCCTGCGGCTTAGGGTGTGTTTGGTTGGTACGATCCAGAACAGGGTCGAACAGCTGGTGCACATGGGGCAGCCTCGTGCCAACCAAACGGTACTCCAGAAACAGAGCACATTTTTTGTGAAAAGTGAGCCAAACTTGGTGCATTCTTCAAAATGTGTACATGTCACCATCCCCACTTTGTACAGTACGACGAGTTCAACCCAAAACGGTATGCACGTGATCATTAGAGACTAAAATCGATGTTTCCGCCAGGTTCCACTGTAAACAAGTGAAACTGCTCGGTCTGCTCCGGCCTGGAGGCCGGAGCAAGAAGAACATGATGTTCTGGCCGACCCAGAACAGGTGCAGTCCCAACCAAACGCGCTGTTCTGGTGAATCCTGTTCTAGGTTGTACCAACCAAACGCGCCCTTAGACTCCGAGTGCTGGATATGAATCAACCAGCGCTTCAGTGTTCCATGCCTCACGTATGGTGTCATTCTGCTACACTTCACATACTGCAAGACATCATTGCACCAGCAAGCAGCCTCTACGTCTTGTCAGTTCAGAGTGAAGGACAAACAAGGAGACTTTTGCTAGAACTTGGGTCGTGCTTCGTAACTTTTTAATCATTTGTAATGTCTTGTACGTTCTGGCAACCATTTAAAAGTTACATGCCGAAAGCTTCAAAGTCTGGCATGCGGCTTATACTCTGAATGTCAACAAAATTACGAATGCTGCTTAGACCCCGGTGCAAACACCCCGGCAAATACATGTACGGTATGTGTGAGCTGCAGAATTTGGTTTTGTGTGGCGGTTGGACGTTTCAAATGCTTTAAAAAAAGAACATCCAGATACCTCACAACCAGCATGCTTTACCTTATAGGGTTGGTCCTCCGCTGGGTCCATGTAACCAAGGCGAAACATGTACTCCATCACACGGTGAACAGACACGTCAAGCTGTGCCTCCGTTGCATAGCCATCATTCACTGCATCTGCCAGAAACTTCTGGTACGCTGCGCCACAGTTTGTGTCCGTGCCTCCGTTGAGGCCGGCAGCCGCAGCTGTTTCAGAGGAGTTTGTGTATTTGTGATTAGCGTAGATATTGCCAATGGCGCCACAGTCACTGACAAAAAATCCATCAAATCCCCACTCTTCACGGACAATCTCATTCTGGAAGAGAGAATTGGCGCAGCTTGGTATCCCGTTCACGGCATTGTAAGAACACATGATGGACTTGGCATGAGCACGCTCGACACAAGAGCGGAACGGTACCCAGTAGTACTCCACTAAGTCTTGCTCACTGACGATAGCATTGAATGCGTGACGTGTCACGCCTCCCCAATTTTCTAGATCGTAGGCACTGAAGTGTTTACAGGAGGAGATGAGTTTGAGATAGCGAGGGTCTTCACCTTCTTGCAAAGCACGTGAATAGTGTGCAACATACTCTGCAGATAAGTATGGATCCTCTCCTGGAACTTCTTGTCCTCTTCCCCAGCGGGGATCCCGGAACAAGTTGATATCGGGAGCCCACATGGACAGACCTATCTTTCCCTGGTTATGCAATGCTCTGCCCTCTGTTGCGATTGTCTCACCAACCTTTGTCCATAGTGTACGATTGAATGTTGCTGCCAGTCCCAGAGCATGTGGGAATGAGGTTGGACAGCCAGTAGACCCTGGGGCAGCATCTCCACATTGACAGTTCACTCCATGAAGGCTTTCACCATATAGAAACGCCGGTACTCCCAGGCGAGGGACACCTCCGTTTGTGTGACCTTTTGCCACTAAGAACTGGGCCTTTTCATCAACTGTGAGTCGAGGTGCCAGGTCGTTGATTCTATCTACAACGGACGCGGCCGAATTGCAGTACGCATATGAACTGAATGGCGCTAGGGAGCAGTTTGCAGTGGAGCCAGCATCCAGGCACAATGCTGGAGTAGAAGACAGGCGTATCTGTCCCGACTCTATATCGTACGTCCACTGCTGCATCTGGTCTTGTGCTTGCCTGCATGTATCCATGACCACACTGGCTCCGGCCAGATACTGCTGCGCAGTAACACAGTGACCATTCATGAGACTCACAATTCGAGACGTGTTTTTATCGTACTTGAACTGCTGATTGTACGCACGAGAAAAAGGATTAGGCCTGTAGAGTTGCAGCGCAGCTCCACTCGTATTCAGCCAATGGTCGATGTCGAGAACCAAGGATTTATTGCTGGCACGGGCAATGCGCTGGTTGGGGTACGGCTCCGAAATAACCACCCACGCATCATCGGCTAGATGTAAGGAGCACTCCCACAGCTGTACACGAAGCCCGACGAGGGCTGCAGCAGGGCGGTCTGCAAAGAAACTAACCGCTAAGACGGCTACTAGCACGCCCAGACGAACACTTCGCGCATAGGTTGCCATGGCTGAATCAACAAATCCTGACCCCGATTCTGAAACGACCCGGCCGGGCCAATTTTTGGCCAAAGACGACTGCACAGAAAGAAAACAGTCCAGCTGCAGTGTAGATCTACTGACTGCAGTACATGGACCAGTGCAGTAATACTAGTACAATCATATACAGAAGCCTTGCTTGGTAGTTTAACATGTTTTTCGATTTTGGCCAACCGGTTTATGGTTGTAGTCAGGAGCACTACGCGTCCTCGCCTTGTAACATGCTGTCAAAATCGAAAAACATAGTACAATCATGTAGAGATCTACATAATCATTACAATAATTATGCTGCCGCAATCATGAATGGTTATCAAGACTTGCAAGCAGGGAGTCAGAAAAGAAATAAAGGAAAGTCTCCCTGCTTGCAGTTGGGCGGTGAGTAGGCCATAGCCTCGGTGACCCTAGGCCCTGCAACTAGGCAGTCGTAAGTATGGGAAAACACCAGAGTATTTCCCTCTCAGTAGATCTACAGTCATGTACGTCTCACTCTTTACCCTTCACTAGGCTTCAGACGTTATCTCGATTCAGACGGTTGCAGATATCCGGGCCAACTCTTTGAGGATGTTTTATACTTTGAAGTAAATTTATACCGCTCCACGTCCACAACGGCACAAAAGTCCCCAATGCTGAGCCTTTCAGCTTCTAAACGATTTTCTGTTTGCCTAGGGCAGGACAGTCAGTAGATGGCCCGAATACAAATCCAATTATCCTCTACACTACGCCTACATAGGGCCTTAGAACTTTGTACAGCAATGTCGTGAATACTAACTGCCACCGTCATGGGACCATAACGTAATCCCAGCAGAAAACCAGACATGGCATGCATGCAGAGCACAGGTTCCCGGGAAACGACTTCAGAGAACCCCAAAGGCAAAGGAAACTCGGGCATCATGAACAGAAACTAACTACTTGTCAAACTATGTTTGTGTAGATCTACATGTACATGTACGTACAGTCGACCCTTGAGTCAAAAAATGAAAGTAACACGGTCACCGCGTTTCCATTAGGCAGTATATATCATGCAAAACCCAAAAGCCCATCCGGCCGTGGGTCGCAGGAACCGCACGAGTCTTGGCACTGGTTGCGAGCCGTGAATCGGATTTCTTTGGCCACAACTGTACACTGCCTGCACTGCAGTCTGTCTACAGAAGAAGTAAAAACAATGAATGTACCAGGTGGGAACAATGCAAAACCGTGCAGTAAATACCTGAACGGCAGGATAGGTCAAATACCAAAGAACATCATTGGTCGCCTGGCATACTCTGTATTGTAACACGATAGACAGCAGGACATAACGACCAATGTAAAAATAAGCTGTGAATGTATGACATTGTCATGACAATAAGATCACAACTTTGTACTGATGAGGCCGGGCCTAGCGCCTCATGGCTTGCTATCTACAGCAGGTAAGATCACAACTTCAAAACTTCCTACTTGTAAGTTGGTTGTGCTTCTCAACACAAATCAATTGTATAGCAGGTGGTAACGACTTTACGTGAACATTTCACCTCAGTGACAAACTGACTTCGAGGTACACTGTACTTCTAGAACATGCATTGTACGCCATTATGCCAATAAATAGTTTTGCGAATGAAAGAAGAATGTGCAATGGACGAATATATTATGTTGTCAAAATGACAACTTCTATTGGTTCAGCTTTGTAACGTGCCGTTCCTTGACGAGAGGATAGCTGAACAGCTCCACATCCCCACCATCAACGATGAATTTTCCTCTCAGATCTCCTACTTCCACACGGTATTCCCCTCTGCGAATACTCTGTACTCCCTCGCGATCTGTCAAGGACAATGTCTGAGGAGAAACTGTCAAATGCACAGTTGCTGATTCTCCAGCTTGCAGATACACACGACCAAAGTCAAACAGTTCACGAATCGGTGCATCCGATTGATTGCTCGACTTCAGGAATCCCAACACACTGTCCGCTCCAGCTACATCTCCTGTATTCTTCACAACAACTGTGTACATCAGTGGTGTATCTCCTACTGATGCTGCTGTTGACGTATCCACATGGATAACCGACTCGCCAATGCTGCCACTCTCCCAACTGTAGCTAAATGTTGTGTAGGACAAACCAAATCCAAACTCCCAAAGTGCATCTCCAGTATAATGTAGATAGGTACAGCCACCATTGCCTCGCAGGTTCATATCAAAATAGCTTCTATCAGTGTAGCTAGCTGGGTACACAGTGGTTGGTAGGCGTCCTGACGGGTTCACTTTGCCAAAGAGAACATCAGCAACAGCATCTCCACCAAGTTCTCCGGGATAGAAAGCTTCCAGGATTGCCGGAACATTCTCTTTGATGGAGTCAATGGCTAATGGTCCTCCATTGATCAACACCACAACAGTGTTTGGCTGTACTTTGAGAACTGCATCAACTAATTCTTGCTGAGCACCGGGGAGAAGCAGATCTTTTCGATCGCGTCCTTCAGACTCTTGTCTTGTTGTCATGCCAATGCACACCACGGCAACATCGCTTCCCTTGGCAGCAGCGGTCACATCGTTAAACTTGGAGGTGTCGTCAGATGATGTACTTTCGAGTCCCGGAACAAAGTTGATCTTGATGGATTGACCAGCTAGCGTAGTGACTCCAGCTAGGATGGAGTGTGCCTCTACCAGAGTGTTCTGGCCATGGTAGTTACTCAGCAGATCTTGTGTAGCGTTTGCCTGCGGACCAATCAGTGCAATGGACTTGACCTGGACAACAGACAAAGGGCGCACGTTTTGAAAGAAACCCGGTATTGCTTTGAAAAGTATCAAACCAATATTTTGCAGCGTTACAACGTATGTTTCTATAATTGGTGAAACCATTCTTTTTGACCTTTGTGGTTACGCTCCGCCCCTGTGGTGTTGAGCACTGTTGAAACCTGGGTATACCCACTTATGTGAAACCAATATTTTGTGTAGCAATCCAAGCCAGGCTTTACTACAATGCATAGAAAAATTATCCTGTACAGGAGCTGCATATTTCTGCTGATGAATGTGAGAGTACTGTAATAAGTTATTGCAGCTGCAGAGTACACCGCTATGTTGGTGAGACCTCGATGCAGACTCTTTGGACTGACAAAGTTCCCCAGCCCATCGTATAGAAGAATAATGCCTGGATTTTCGTATGCTGGTATTCTAGATGATAGCATATATTTACCTTGGCAAGGGATAGAGGCAATGTATTCTTGACATTCTTCAGTAAGACGATCAATTGCTGTGCAGCTTCCAGTGCCACTTGCCGATGATCATATGTATCAACATCGGCAGGACCAAGGCTCTGGAATAAGGGCACATTTATTCAGAAAAGCACAGAAAGGTAGACTTGTTGGCGGATAGCTAAAGTTATAAATACAGCCCTGCACGCAGTACGAACAACAGTTCACTGCGGCTGGCATTCAGGAGACAGGCACAGTTGGCGCCCACGAAAATTCGGCTAACGCCATACAGAGACATGGTACGAGGATACGGCGGTGCCACATGGTAGAATCATGCGGCACAGTCTTACCAGTGTTTCGCTGTAGATCTACCAGCACTGTGGCACTGACTATGCAGATAGGTACATGATAGGCATGTGCAGTGGCAGCGCATGTGTTAGAATACCATGTACATGTACGAGCATTGGCTAGATACTTTGGCGACAACTGTACAGTGAAACCTGTCTAAGACGACCACCGCTCAAGGGACCTTCAAAATGCGGTCTCTGTTACCAGGTGGTCTCCTTATCCAGGGTCATTTGACTGGAAATAGCATCCCTTGATCCTGGTTTCAGTGGTCTTCTTGGACAGGTGGTTGCCTTATCCGAGTGGTCGCCTTGACAGGTCTTACTGTACTTGCTTCACATCTACAGTGATGAAACATCACCTCAGGCTGGCATGGTTTTTGTTTTTATTTCAAAGCTTCAGCCAAACTTAAAGGGGAAGTTAAGGCAAAAATAAAAATTTCACCAGTTGTAGTCTTCGGGGTGCTGAGTCGAATGGTCTTGGTCCGAGAAAGCTGAGATGCTCCCTTCCTACTTGAATCCCAATCGAACTCGCGCACTTCCACTGAAACTGGGTGACTGCGCCCTACTAGATGGGGATGTGTATGCAAAATGTCACTAAAAGCGCCATTCGTTCTTATAAAAGCACGGATGACCGCGATTGGCCCATATGTTGTAGTCTTTTGGACGCTGAGTCGACTGGTTTTGGTCCGAAAAGGCTGCGTTGCAGCGTTCCTCCTTTATTCCCAATCGAACATGGTTGAACAAGCGGTCACGTGCTCCTGCGTACACCAGTCACCTGGTCACCGTGCCTGCAGGGTACAACTTACTAGCCTGTTTGACCTTTTTTGGGTGCAGTCCTGTCACTCGAGTTGAACTCAAGTTGAACCTTGGTGTGAAAGTTGTGGCCTCCTGGCGTGGTGACCAGGTGATTTGGGCACTAGGCCAAGACAGATTCTGCTCCGGTCGCCTCGATATTTTGCGGCAAAATGTTGCTGCGAAATCTTCGATATTTTGCCGAGCCTGGCACAACAAACTCGATATTTTGCTCCATTTTGCTCCGGAAAAACGTGTACAATCCCGTACAACGTTTCACAAAAATCGCAGGGTCGGTTTCTCAACACGGGTTTCAACGGACGTGTCCCTGAGTTCTTCCAAATTCAAGTCGATCCACAGTGAATCCCAGAGATGTTTCGTTGACATGATCTCGTCCTGGGCAGTGTATCCTGCTGAACGGGTAAGAAACAAGGAAATCCAAGTATCAGGCATCGATTTTACCCAACATGTCGATATTTTGCTCCGATTTTGCCGGTAATTTCCGCTCTTTCAATTCTTCGATATTTTGCCGAAAGAATTGCAGGCAGGATCTGTCTGGGCCTATTGGGCACCCAGGAGCACGTGACCGCTTGTTCAACCATGTTCGATTGGGAATAAAGGAGGAACGCTGCATCGCAGCCTTTTCGGACCAAAGCCAGTCGACTCAGCGTCCAAAAGACTACAACATATGGGCCAATCGCGGTCATCCGTGCTTTTATAAGAACGAAATGGCGCTTTTAGTGACATTTTGCATACAAATCGCCATCAGGGCGCAGTCACCCAGTTTCAGTGGAAGTGCGCGAGTTCGATTGGGATTCAAATAGGAAGGGAGCGTCTCAGCTTTCTCGGACCAAGACCATTCGACTCAGCACCCCGAAGACTACAACTGGTGAAATTTATATTTTTGCCTTTTAACTTCCCCTTCAATGCTCTTTATACTTCGAAGTAGCATCTATTGAGGAACATGAAGTTTGGTGTTTTTCAGGGCTTAGTTAGGTTCAAAGGTTCAGTATTTCTCTGTGTTTCCTTGTACTTTTTCTTGGACTTTGATCAAAAGATGTTAGCCTAGCAATTCCAGTCGGACATGGTCTTGAATTTTGATGAGCAATTCAAGCCATGATATTCTTATGATAAACCGTCTTAGACGCATCTCGATGCCACAATAGGTGAAGAGTTAAATTTGACGCCATTAAATAAGACACAAAAACTCTCTTTTCAAGACAATACATGTAGTTGTCGACCTGGCCATTTTGCTTACCAGATATGGCTGGTTCTCGGCTGGGTCCATGTAACCAAGGCGAAACATGTACTCCATCACACGGCGAACAGACACGTCAAGCTGTGCCTCCGTTGCAAAGCCATCATTCACCGCATCTGCCAGAGAATTCTGGTATGTCTTTCCACAGTTTGTGTCCGTACCCCCATTGAGGCCGGCAGCGGCAGCTGTTTCAGAGGAGTTTGTGTAATTGTGATTAGCGTAGATATTGCCAATGGCGCCACAGTCACTGACAAAAAATCCATCAAATCCCCACTCTTCACGGACAATCTCATTCTGGAAGAGGGAATTGGCACAGCTTGGTATCCCGTTCACGGCATTGTAAGAACACATGATTGACTTGGCATGAGCACGCTCGACACAAGAGCGGAACGGTACCCAGTAGTACTCCACTAAGTCTTGCTCACTGACGATAGCATTGAATGCGTGACGTGTAACACCTCCCCAATTTTCTAGATCGTAGGCACTGAAGTGTTTACAGGATGAGATGAGTTTGAGATAGCGAGGGTCTTCGCCTTCTTGCAAAGCACGTGAATAGTGTGCAACATACTCTGCAGATAAGTATGGATCCTCTCCTGGAACTTCTTGTCCTCTTCCCCAGCGAGGATCCCGGAACAAGTTGATATCGGGAGCCCACATGGACAGACCTATCTTTCCCTGGTTATGCAATGCTCTGCCCTCTGTTGCGATTGTCTCACCAACCATTGTCCAAAGTGTACGATTGAACGTTGCTGCCAGTCCCAGAGCATGTGGGAATGAGGTTGGACAGCCAGTAGAACCCTGGGCAGCATCTCCACATTGGCAGTTCACTCCATGAAGGCTTTCACCATATAGAAACGGCGGTACTCCCAGGCGAGGGACGCCTCCGTTTGTGTGAGGCGTTGCCGCCAGAAACTGAGCTTTCTCCGCCACTGTTAGTCGTGGTAATAGGTCATCAATCCTAGTGACCATGGAGGCTGCCGAGTTACAGTACGCATATGTGCTGAATGGTTCCACAGAGCAGTTGGCCGTCGAACCAGCATCCAGGCATAAAGACGGATTACCAGAATGAACAAGACGGAATTGCTTCGTTTCCGCATCGTAGGTCCAGCGTTGCAACTCGTCCTGCGCTTGGCTGCAGTTCTCCATCACCACACCAGCACCTGGTACGAACTGCTGCGCCGTAACGCAGTGCCCATTCATCATACTTAGGATGTAGGAATTGGTTTTATCGTAGGAGAACTGCTGGTTGTAGGCTCCGGCGAAGCTGTTAGGATGGAAGAGTTGCACCACCGCTCCGCTAGTGTTCAGGTAATGATCGATGTCCAGTATCAACGAGTTGTTGCTCGCGCGTGCAATGTGATGGTTGGGATACGGTTCGGAAACGATCACCCAAGCGTTGTTGCTGTGTGGCGGAGAACAATCCCATAGCTGAAGGGCCTGACCCGCCAGAGTCGATGTGGCCTGTCTTACGAAAAGACTGACGAGCAAAACCACCAAGGCGAGACGAAAGCCCCGCACAGAGACGGCCATGGCGGTCGCAGCTTAGGATGAGTCTGGTCAAAATACCGTTCTTCTTTCTAATCCCTGGTTTGTAAAGCGGTTGGTCTCCTACTTGTCCTAGCATAGTCTTCACAAATAATTCAGGACGTTTCTTCGCGCTTGCCCAGTTTTACCCCATACTCACCCCCATAGATCTACTGCTACTCGAGACTTCGACACCAGTGGGCCGGTCACGAGGTGCAGACCTAAGCTGCACATGATCTCCTCCGATGTCAGCTGTCATCAGGCCATGCTACAACTAACTTACAAGTAAATCTACAACCCGTCCTTTTAGTTGTAGGCCGGGTCATTTGGGGCACGGAGGCGTCGGCAGCCGTCTGAACAACAACAGTTACATGACGATCGAGTCATGCATGACAACTGCGGTAGATCTACAGTGTGCAGTGTAGTCTAGACCTTTTGAAGGTCATCTATGTAGTCTACCAGGTGTACCCTTCGCCGTCGCTGTGCGTTTCTTCTTCTTTTTTTTTTTTTAAATTTCGGCCAGTCGGCTTCTATCATTTCGTCTTGGGGGTTAGACAAAGGGAAGTAGCCATGTCGGGGCGTGAGCCCGCCTTTCGGCACCGGGAGTTGCAGCTCGCTCGGCTTGACTCTACTGAGTGCAGAGGACCCACACCTTGATCTGGTGAGCTGCGTCGTGGGGATTTTGCAGTCAGATGTGCGACTGCGGGGCTCGAACCCGCGACCTCTGGGGTCGCAGGCAAGTGCAGTACCCAATGTACTACCGGGGCCCCCGTTTCTTCTTCTTCCGAAGACGACAAGCAGACGTTGAAAAAGTGTGGTGATTTTCAACGTCTGCTTGTTTCTTCTTCCGAAGACGACAAGCAGACGTTGAAAATCACCTCTTGTCGACGGTCGGAATCGCACCAACATGGCCTACCAGAGTCCGCAGCGAGCATACACTACCATCATCCAATGTCTGCTGGGTCTCACTCTCAGTCTATCATTTCAGACCGCCTGGTCCGCGTCGGACCCAGGTGTTTTCATTCAACTGTGGTACTGTAACGAGAGCGCTGCCGCGAATCATGCGTGGAAATTCGGAACGGATGCCTACCCCAACCGTCGCATCGCGCGCGCAGACAACTCGTCGCTTGTGGTGACCATAGAGAAGGCTCAGAACAAGAGTGGCACGATCCTGCAACTGTCGCTTGCCTCGCCAGTCGGACATGCCTATGCTCAACAATTCCAGTATGATCCGGGCTATAATCACGTTGTGAGTTTGATGAACAAATTCTGCATCACTGCCAGGTACAATACGCCAGGGTCCGCTCTGGTTATTGACAAGTGCAACACGAGCAAACCTGGCGATCCGCGCCAGCAGTGGAAATACGATACAGCGGCTGGGCAAATACGGCTATTAGCCAACTCGTCATTATGTCTAGATGCCGGCTCAACGTACAGCTGCTCAACGAAACCGTTCAGTTCCAACACGTACTGCAACCCAGCAGCATCTGTGGTTGACCGAATTGATGACTTACTCCCACGGCTGACGCTTGGCGAGAAAGCGCAGTTCTTGGTCGCAAGGGAACACACGAACGGCGGTGTTCCTCGTCTCGGAGTTCCTGCATTTCTGTACGGTGAAAGCCTTCATGGAGTGAACGCCTTCTGCGGAGATGCTGCCCAGGGTTCTACCGGCTGTGCCACTTCATTCCCACATGCGCTGGGACTGGCAGCGACATTCAATCGTACACTTTGGACAATGGTTGGTGAGACAATCGCAACAGAGGGCAGAGCATTGCATAACCAGGGAAAGATAGGTCTGTCCATGTGGGCTCCCGATATCAACTTGTTCCGGGATCCCCGCTGGGGAAGAGGACAAGAAGTTCCAGGAGAGGATCCATACTTATCTGCAGAGTATGTTGCACACTATTCACGTGCTTTGCAAGAAGGCGAAGACCCTCGCTATCTCAAACTCATCTCATCCTGTAAACACTTCAGTGCCTACGATCTTGAGCACTGGGGCAACGTGACACGCAATGAATACAATGCAATTGTCGGCGAGCAAGACTTAGTGGAGTACTACTGGGTACCGTTCCGCTCTTGTGTCGAGCGTGCTCATGCCAAGTCCATTATGTGCTCTTACAATGCCGTGAACGGGGTACCAAGCTGCGCCAATTCTCTCTTCCAGAATGAGATTGTCCGTGAAGAGTGGGGATTCGATGGGTTCTTTGTCAGTGACTGTGGTGCCATCAGCAACATTGGTGGCACACACCATTACACGAACTCCTCCGGAGCTACCGTGAAGGCCGCCATTGAAGGTGGAACCGACACAAACTGCGGGATGACGTACATGAACTTCCTTGCCATGGCCGTTGATGATGGCTTTGTTACGGAGGCACAGCTGGACGTCTCTGTACGTCGCGTGATGGAATACATGTTCCGTCTAGGCTACATGGACCCAGCCGAGGACCAACCATATACGGTAGGTCTATTCGTGTCTAAATGTAAATGTATGGCCGTGTGCATGTGGCAAACACAAGCCTTATTTGAGGATATAATTATAGTTATACAGAGTAGTGCGTGTGCCCGGCCAGGCCAATTTTCCCGCTGATTGCATTCACGGACGGTTAACCCTCACACCTGCGTGGCAGTTGAACGCAAGATGCTGGCCCGGCAATCCACGCGTACAAAATAATTCTAATTCAAAGTTTTCCGAAGCGAGCTTGAAGGTTGTGACTGAGTGTGCGACTGTGCGTTGAAAGTCAAACCAGGTTCCATCGAGTCCACCCTCCCTACCACATGCCACTATCTACTCAGTACTGGCTTGCAAGTTGGTGTCATGTTGCTGGCTTAGTGAACGGGCTCAGCCGAAGAGTGCATGTGATCGTGAGTTTGGAGTAAATGCTGAACAGGCAAAAAGCTACTCATGAACAAATGTACTCTGAAGTAAAAGTGAACTGTTCCAGTGTAAAATAGTTCTGCCATTGATCACATGAAGGACGAGTGTATTGAGATGTATGGGTTACTTTGGTAAACTTAAACTCAAAATAAAGCCTTGAACCACCAGACATTGAACAGAGCAATCTGGACTCCGACCAACTTTGTTAGCCATAACTGACTCCTAAGATAACCTTGGTGTCGTAGTTTTGTTCTGAAGAGCTCTTCATTCATTAAACAGGTGTCAAGGATGACTGTTATTCGTTTTTCACCGTCCAGAAAATTGGGCCTGACAAGGTTGACACCCCAGTTCATCGCCAAATTGCCCTGGAAGCTGCGCAGCAAATGATTGTCCTGCTGAAAAATGACAAGAGCACACTGCCTCTCTCCGTGAACAAGGTATAGGCGGGTTTGGGGAATTCAATACTATGTATCACTGACTACTCTAACGTCATGTGGAAGCAGCCAGTGAAATTGCTGGAACTATTTTTATAGCATAGTTTGTTACAGAGGCTAGAGAAGACATGTGGCCATGCAATATCTTTTTTTTAACGCCAAGCCGAGTTACCAGGATGGGGGGGGGGGGCTGCATAATGCATGGATGACACAGCACGCATGCAACTTGAAGAGTTAGCAGATTGCTAACAAATCCCCCACCCATCCCTCCCCCTAGTGCGACCTTTGTCTCAGGACTGACGGGTGGTATCAAGGAAGAGATGCACTCAGCTTTCCTTGGCAGACAAACTTTTTCCATTAAAATTGCGCATCTCTGATTACAACAAAACGATTTAGTATTTTTCAGCCCCCATTCTGTCCCCCCCCCCCCCCCCCCCCCCCCCAGCTACACGCCTACCCAGTTGTATGAAGGTGCTCATTCTTGGTATGTTTCAGGTTTTGATTCTGTAGTTTTGGTTCTGTGCATATTTCATCCAACACTTTGCTGCAGGTGAAATCGGTAGCAGTGATTGGACCCCAGGCCAACGCCACACAGGATCTGCTAAGCAACTATCACGGAACAAATACTCTGGTTAATTCCCACTCTGTTCTAGCTGGAATAATAAACCTAGCTGGCCAGGCAGTGTCAGTAGACTATGTAGCGGGACTTGAGGATGTTGCATCCAATGATACTTCAGAGTTTGACGAGGCAGCTGGTGCTGCTAAGAAGTGTGATGTAGCCATCATTTGCATCGGAATGACAACAAAACAAGAGTCCGAAGGACATGACCGCATGGATCTTCTTCTCCCCGGTGCTCAGCAAGAATTAGTTGATGCAGTTCTCAAAGTACAGCCAAACACTGTTGTGGTGTTGATCAATGGAGGACCATTAGCCATTGACTCCATCAAAGAGAATGTTCCGGCAGTCCTGGAAGCCTTCTATCCCGGAGAACTTGGTGGAGATGCTGTCGCTGATGTTCTCTTTGGCAAAGTGAACCCGTCAGGCCGTCTACCAACCACTGTGTACCCAGCTAGCTACACTGATAGAAGCTATTTTGATATGAACCTGCGAGACAATGGTGGCTGTACCTATCTACATTATACTGGAGATGCACTTTGGGAGTTTGGATATGGTTTGTCATACACAACATTTAGCTACAGTTGGGAGAGTGGCAGCATCGGCGAGTCAGTCATCCATGTGGATACGTCAACGGCAGCATCAGTAGGAGATACACCACTGATGTACACAGTTGTTGTGAAGAATACTGGAGATGTAGCTGGAGCGGACAGTGTGTTGGGATTCCTGAAGTCGAGCAATCAATCGGACGCACCAATTCGTGAACTGTTTGACTTTGGTCGTGTGTATCTGCAGGCTGGAGAATCAGCAACTGTGCATTTGACAGTTTCTCCTCAGACATTGTCCTTGACAGATCGTGAGGGAGCACAGAGTATTCGCAGAGGAGAATACAGTGTAGAAGTAGGAGATCTGAGAGGGAAATTCATCGTTGATGGTGGGGATGTGGAGCTGTTTAGCTATCCTCGTATCAAGCAACGGCATGAGCAACAGATGCGAACATGAACCCAGACTGCGGGTATACTTGTAGTCAGGACACTGGAATGCAGGTCATTCTATCCGTTAATTTCATCTCTATTTCGTATCGACTTCTGACGATGATCAAACTAACTCTTGCGCATTGTGTTTGTCATCATGTGCGATAGAAACAATAGGGCCCCCCCCCCCCCCCCCCCCCCGCATTTATCTGTCTGGTAGAGGAAGTTGTCCTCAGCTGATTGCAAAACGGTTTGAAAAGAGCTTGATCGTGAACATTTGGGAATGACCGACATGTTTTCTGAACGTGGAATGTCCTTTTGTGAGGTCGAGGTTGAGGAGCTACATAATGTGGCTCCGCAACCTCGTCCTCGATCTCACAAAAGGACATCACCAGTGTGCTCCAGTCAAATCAGTCGGCAGGAAGTGGGAGCCCTGGCGTTTGGAGCAAACACTTTCTTTACCGCCGAAGTCGCAACATCTTCGTTCGTAGATCTACTTTGTCCCCCGCGCAGGAATGCGACTAGATGCCATAGATTGTTGGAGATGCCACTGGTGGGATGTGAATTCCCCGAAACACAGCAGGGAGTGTTTTTTTCTTGCAGGTTTGCCGAGTGGAAGGTTCGACGGGCTTCTCGTGTGCTCCAGACGCAGTCGTGAGTCAGTGAAGTGTCAAGCCATTTGGCAGGAAGCGCCAGCCCCAACGTTCTGAGCAGACACTTAGGAACTACTTGACTTTAATAGTCTTTCATCACACATCCGTGAATTATTTACATGTAATTCCCGTACCTATGCAAAAGACGTTGCTCACAGGCTACGATGTCGTCATGCTGCATTTAGTAGTAGTAGAATTTATTATTTTGATAGGGAAGGCCCTACAGACGTTGCCGTCTTGTTACAGGGAACCCTAAGTGCTCTTTACAGAGCGAAACAAAAACGGATAGATGCTCAACCTGACGACACGAGACAGGCAGAGAATTCAACCTATCAGCGCCAAGGAAAGAAATAGAGAACATGCCATATCTAGTGGTAGCAGCGGGCAAAGAAAGTGAAGAGAATGATTGCCCTCTAGTGCGCCTCTCGGTGCAAGTAGCAGCCGACTGGAGGGTGAACATTGAGGAAAGAAGAGGACTTGTAAGCTGATGAATACAGCGGAAAACAAAAATAAAAAGCCTCAAGTTGAGACGAGATTCGAGGGAGTATAACTTAGCGTGCCGCAAAACAAAGACAGTCGGGGTACGGCGAGGGAGACCAAAAACCTTTTTCATGCTGATATGACTTAAAGTAACAAGGCGAGAGTATAAAGATGGTGTAAGACAGTGAGCATACGAGTTGCTGGCGTATTCAATAGTGGATTGGATGAGGGATAAATAAAATATTCGCTTAGTTGTGTGGTCTACTGTACGGCGGCAGCGGCGGAATGCTCCTATCTTCTTATAAACAGATGTACATACGTGGTTGACTTGATCCTCAAAGGTGAGGTGTTGTCTATTGCCATAATATATCTGCAAGTGCAACCATCACAGCATACTCTTCGAACATCCATCGATTCGTATACTCAGTTACACAAAGGTAAGTGGTTCTCCCGCTGAAGACCAAGCTGCAAAGCGTGTGGCTCCAGTCAGCAAACAGTGATGTCTGCTGCTAGCCATACCCCTGCTAAACCCCAATGCCACTCCCTTCCAGCCTCGATGGTCCCGGGGCTCCCAAAGAACAACCAACTGCAACAACCTCAAACTGTTCGTCACTAATGCTGTAACAGATTCACTGTTACTACTAACACTAGGAATAGGATACACTTATCACCTGCTATTATCACGCTGCTGCTGTTAGGTGTTATGTCCATCATTGCTTGTTCATGCATATAAGAATGCATTATGGCAAGGATCATTGCTTATTCCAAGAATGACTACTGAAGTTAGTTGGACTGTTACACTGGTAGCAAGAGGATGGTTTTTCTTTTCGTCATGTTCGGGCTATGCGCAGTGGCCGCATTAGTCGCCTACGGTATATTCGAGATTCAGAAGCGTCTGAATCACCTTATCGCACTCGGTCAGTGCGATGGATCAGATCAAACGCCAAGACGTGCTCAAGCTCCCAGCGGAGAGAGGCCACGCATGCGCCATGTTAAGTCTCCGCCTGTGTTTCGTGGAGATACAAGAGAGTTCAAGGAGTGGGCCTTCGCCATCGAACTCGCCATGAAGTCCCTGCAGCTGGACAACGCGGAGGAGCGCTTGAGCTACGCGGCGAGTTTTCTGGAGGGCAACGCTCGTCTTTGGTTTATCGCCTCTCAGGAGGCAAACACGCTGTTTTCCGACTGGCCAGACCTGAAGAGCAAGCTGGGAGAAGTGTACGGCCCGGTGTATGACAGGGAACAGGCGCGCATCGACTTATTCGCTCTTCACCAAGATGAGACTCTTGACGAATACATCAACAAATTTTCGCGGCTTAGCTTACAAGTTCCCGAGCTTGATGACCACTCCAGAGCTATCTTGTTCACGCGTGGGCTGGCTCAGGGCCTAAGCGGTGAGGTACTTAGGGAGCATCCGCAACATTTGGCCCAAGCCATACGAGCTGCGGTCTCAGCAGACCAGTCGATGCAGCTAGCCCAAGCAAGCTACGCCAAGGCAGTGCGCGCACCAGGGCATCAGAGGCGCCAGCCTGGACCCTGGTCAAGCCAACCAACACCATCCGGTGGGAGAGAAACCAGGGAGCCAGAGGGTCGTTCAAGGCTGTGTTTCACCTGCAGGAAACCCGGCCATATTGCCAGATTCTGTCCAGAAGGAGGGAGGAACGCCACAAGCAAGCCTTCTTTAAACGATGGACGCCAGTAAGGAAGGGAGTGCGACTACTGGCGAACACGAGAGCACCCAGGAATAGGCCACGAATCAAAGTTCAGAACAAATTCAGCCCCTTAGCAAATGAGGAACCACGCCTCGAGGAGACCGAAATTCAAGCCTCGCCTGTCAAGCATTCGTCACCTGATACTGTTGGCCGGCCTAATGAAGTAACCGCCAGCACAGGGAGCATTTCCGCCGACAACGAACACGACCTAATGCGCGTCCAGGGCAAGATAAATGGACGTCGCGTTACCATGCTACTGGATTCTGGGTCAACCCACGACTTCATTTCAACTGACCTTGTCAAGAAGCACAACATCTCCACAACAACCGGTAGCGACGTCCTGAACGTCACACTTGCTGATGGATCGGTCCGCTCACAGCCTATTACGAAAACGGACAGCTTGAAGACCGTAGTCGGCGACTTTAGCGAGCACCAACAGTTCCTAGTATTCCCTATGACGCGGCATGACGTGATCCTCGGCAAACCATGGCTGACCCGGACGAACCCACAGATCAATTTTCGTACCAATGAAATCAAGCTGGAGGGTGGATCCATCATCTGTCAACCGAGTGAAAGTGATGGCACGGACAGATCCAACCCACCGATCGAGACGTTCCTCATCTCAGGGAAGCAGGCTAGGCATGCAATGAGAGGTGGCGCAGAAGGAATCCTAGCGTATGTGACAGCAGATCCGGACGAGCCACAGACGGTGGATAGTCCGGGTAGGGAGGATCAGAAGGATTTCAAGGACCTGCTGAAGGAGTTCGGGGACGTCTTTCCCGATGAGCTTCCAAACAAGCTGCCACCCAGAAGAGGCGCAGATCACGAGATAAAAACGGAAGAAGGAGCTAAACCGCCATCTCGTGCAGCATATCGTTTACCAAAACCAGAGATGGATGAGCTTCAAGCTCAGCTCACCGAGCTGCTCCGTAGAGGATTCATCCAGCCCAGCAAATCCCCATACGGAGCCCCTGTGTTCTTCGTAAAGAAGGCGGATGGAACACTTCGAATGGTATGCGACTGGCGTGAGCTAAACCGCATAACCATTAAGAACAAGGCATGCCTACCGAATATTGACAACCTCTTTGATACCGTCCAAGGCAGTGCGTATTTCACCAAGCTAGATCTGAGGTCCGGTTACAATCAGATTCGAATAGAAGAAACAGATATTCCGAAGACAGCAATAAATACCCCATTCGGTCACTTTCAGTTCACAGTGATGGGTTTCGGCCTAACAAATGCCCCGGCAACATTCCAAACCTTGATGAACAGTGTCCTCCAGCCATACCTGCGTAAATTCGTTGTGGTGTTTCTAGACGATATCCTCATATTCAGCAAATCATGGGAGGAGCACCTCGATCATGTCAGAACCATCTTAAACGCCCTCAGGAGGAATGAGCTATATTGCAAACCGTCTAAATGTGAATTCGGCCGGACAGACGTTCTGTTTCTTGGGCACCGGATAGACGGCCAATGCATTTCTCCAGATCCAGAGAAGATCAAGGCCGTGCATAACTGGCCTGTCCCGACGACGGTCACGCACGTAAGACAGTTTCTGGGATTCGCTAATTACTTTCGAAGGTTCATTAACCATTTCTCGGCCATCTCCAAACCCCTGGAGGAACTGACAGGGAAACATGTGCGCTTCGAGTGGAATCAGACTCGACAGGAGGCATTTGAGCGATTGAAGTCTGCTCTGCTGGATGCACCAGTGTTGCGACTAGCAAACGTCAGTCAGGATTTCCGCGTTGAGACTGACGCAAGTGACTTTGCTGTGGCAGGAGTCTTAACGCAGCAAGCAGAGGACCAGTCCTGGCATCCTGTGGCTTACGTGAGCCGAAAGCTGTCTTCTGCCGAACGGAATTACACGGCCGCCGAGCGAGAAACTTTGGCTGTAGTGTACGCCCTGCAGTGCTGGCGAGTCTACCTATTTCGCCACTTTCAACTCTACACCGACAACATGGGAGTTGTCTACCTCAGGACCAAACCAAACTTAACCAAGAGAGAGGCTCGATGGATTGAATTCCTGGCCGACTATGACTACACGGTACATCACAAGCCAGGGAAGTGTAACATAGCAGACCCGTTGTCACGTCGACCAGACTTGGAACTGAATGGAATCGAGTTCTCTCTGGATGTGAATCAAGGAATTGCGAATCAGATCTCAGCAGGGTATGATAGTGACCCAGAGCTTTCGCCAGTAATCAAGCGCTTGATGGCTTGCAGCGAAGACGCCATGCATGAGCGATACGTCTGGAACAGTGTGGACCGGCGGCTGTACCTAGTAACATCGGGCGATGCTCGCCTCTGCATTCCTCGCGGTCCGGTACGGCTG